TTATAAACGAGATACTTTAATTTGCAATTCAATTTGCCATCATTTTTGTTTTCATTATTTTTTACACTTTAACTAATTTATTGTTCTGCAAATACTGGTTTCAGTGTAAATGTGAGTATGTGAAGGAAAGCAAAATTTATTTATAAGCAAAATAAATCGAAAGTGTTTTTGTTTTTTACATACATACATACATACATATGTGGACAGCGACAACCTCAACATTAATTATTTGGGTTTTGTTTAAATTAACTGGTTTTAAATTCTTTCACATTTCTGCATCGTCTTCAACTTTAAATTATAAAATTCAACCTAAATTAGGGCATTTAACTTTAAAAATGCTTATATTTTGCATATCAATTTAAAAAAATTTATATAGTATAGGAAAAACACAACGCATATGTTAAATAAAACTATATCACTTTAATTAATATATCACTATTACAAATTTATAACTATTCATGTTAATTAATTAATATAATAAACTTTATACGAACTATAAACTAAATAAAAAATTCGAATATTTCCTAACACCACTGATGATAAGTAGGATGGTGACAATACTAGAAACAGCGTTGTATGGTCAACCAAATTTCAATAAATTAACTAAAATTTTTGTTATTATCATTTGATTTCTATTTGAATCCTTCTAACTTTTAAATAGTTTCTTTTTCTCATAAGACACGGTACTTTCGGCAAATAAAATTAATATTAAATAATAATTAAAAAATAATTACTGTTATTCTAAAATATTTATTTAATACAATAGGTAATATACGAATTTTTGTTATAGATATTCAACAGTTTTTTTTATTATATATATTTATTGATAACTAATCTCCCCTTCTCACACTAGTAGATCCTCACGACTGACATTTTGGCTTTCATTCGAAAGGCGGAATGTTTTCTGTTCAGTTTGGGTCTATTGTAGCTGGTACACTGTTTATTTATAATTCTAATTCTAGAAATTATATATTTATTATTATTTAATTAAACAGTTATATTTATGAATTAACATAGACGTTTACTCTCTTACTTCAACACTTTTTCCTTGAAATAATATATAGAAATTGAAGTTGAAAATTATTTTAATAGAATAATGAAATAGTATTAATTTTTATGATCTCTTAAACAAAGTATTGAAATAATAAATAGGCGCCAGCACTACGTATATGCAATGCATAAATTATATTTTATTACTCGACTATATTACTCACATAAACTAGAGCTTTGATAATTTATCAAAAGTATATAAGTATGTATTAAAAAATGTCTACTTTAATTTGCATCCTCCTTCTGTTATTCAAAGCTGCTAAGTATGTCAACTCAGCTCACTTGAAGATAAAAACACACAAAACAAGTAAATCAACATAAACTTGTTAATCGCATCATCGCATTTAAACTTCATTAAATAAAAAATATAAATAATAACATTTAAGATAAAAGAAGTATGTGTTGACTTATTTTTATGAAAGATGTGTAGTTTTCGCTTATCATATACTATATATACAATAGATGCTTGAGAGTGGAGAGGTTTAAGCTCATAAAAATACAATATACTAAATATAAACAATATCTTTTTTTTTTGAAAAATCTTGCTTATACTTGCTATGATTTGATTATATATTTTTAATACAAAGACTTAGTATTGTGTATTTACATTTATATTTTAGTATCACTTTTTTTCTGGAATATTCATAACAAAAGAGTAATTCAGGTTAATAATAGCTTTTCTTTAGTTAATTTATCTTAGCAATTTAATGAAAGTGCAGAGAATTAGTGAATGGTGATTATAGAATAATGTTTATTATTCTACAAAGCGATATCTACGAGTATATCACTGATAATTATTTAGTTTGCATGCAATATCAATGAAATACTGTACGGTAGTACTCGCTTAAGCTAGTTTAAGACTCTAGGACAAATAACATGAAATACACTAACCAGCGACTGTAGCTTAATCGTGTGCAATTTACAGAAATGCAGTTGCTCAACTTCATTTTCAAAGTATCTAGATACTGTAACCAACTACTGTAATTTAATCGTGGGTTGGGCATTTTACTATTTGTAGTCAATGAAATTTCTCATGTTTAAATACGATATGATTTATCAATAAGTCTTTTTATCTAGAATAATTTAAAGCCAAGTAGCTTTTCATACTTTCTGAAAATCAATCCATACTTTTTTGTCGTTTGTTTGATTTTATGAATAAATACGCTTTTAAAAATCTTCCTTTTTGTAATTTTAATGAAGTATTAAAACTATTTTTAATTACATTAAATTAGATATATTTTAAAGATATAATAACTACTATAAGCAAATAATAGTTTAACTATAATATAAATGCACACTTTTAAATCGCTTTTTATAATTACGAGAACTACAAATATAAAAATTTTAAAAGAATTGAATCTATTCTACAAATATATATATAAAATAATGAAATATATAATAATAAAATATATAATAGTAATATATACAATAATAAAATATATAATAATAAAATATACAATAATAAAATATATAATAACAAAATTGTTAATAATGAAATAGTTAATGAATATAGGTTATTTAATATTCAACCTCCTAAAAAATATCTCTAAATATTATATATTGAGATATGATCTACATATGTTTAAAAAGAACACATAGTTCATATCTAAGGACTGTATAACAAACTGTAACACTCAATATAAACTCTAGTTGGACGTAGTATAATATATATATATGAAAACAAATTTAGTGTTTTTAATAGGTAATACCAGATTAGACACATAGAGAGAAGTTTACCAAGTTAATAATTGGCATTGGAGAGTATTGAAAATATAAGATTACTGAGTAAAGGCAGATATCAAAGGTACTCAAAATGTTATGTGCAATTGAATGATTGAAGAAATAATCTATCTTAAGTTTATGAATATTCATTTACGTGAGCAGTAGATATCTGCACATAGTATAGATATTTTATATATGTGATTAGTAAGATTATACCGCAGTAGTTATTGACGGGTCTAAAAATGATGTTAAAGAAATATCATTTTTACAATGATAAAAAAATAAGTATTAAAAAATAACAATACAGAAGTGGATACATCTGACTAGACTAGTAGAAAATCCAACTAGTAGTAGAATCCATCTAGTTTATCTAAAATTAATTAAAATTATTTAAAAATTAAAAATGAATTGCAACTAGATGTATTCAACATCTGCACATAATCGAGATGTACTATGTATTTAGCTGGATTAAATCAGAACAATTATTGTCTATATTATTGATAAAAAGATGTGTTATATGTTAAACAGGAAATTAGTTTCAAAGAAGTCAGAGCACAGAGAAGGGAAGAACTGACTAGACTATCAAAAAACATAAAACTAGAATAAGAATTAAGTCTTGAGAGCTAACGCTAAAGGAGATAAACTGAATATAAATGAGATAATAGATAAGTATAGTAAATAAGATAGACAGAGAAAAAAAATAGATAAATATTGCCAACAGAACAAATTATTAGTTATGGCATTTTAATATTCCCAACACAGCTGTAATAGACAACTCACCAAATCTGTAAAGTAGCCCCAAAACCCACTTGAGTTTAAATAATGGTCCGTTGTAATTCCATGCAGTACAGTTATTCATACATAGACCAGAGGGATTCCAACAAAGCTGCAGGGTTTAGCGTACGAGCAACGCTTATAAGTATGAACGCTAATAAGTAAAAGTGAATCAACCGGACAAGTCTATAAAGTTGGTTAAGTCCCTAATTTTGTTGGATGACAGCTCTAGCCGGCTGATAAAAAAAGACATCCACAGATTTTGAATCTACTCTTAGCCAATAATAGACACTGACACTGACGCATAGAATACAGCTTTCTTCTCCTAAATCTACCAAAAGCTATAATAGAGTACAGTTAGACTTCCCTAGCATGTCTTCCTAGTAGGCAGTGCTCTGTCAGCACCGATACCGTAGTGCTGTGCAGGATGCGCATTATTTAAAGCATCTTACTGGTACGTTTCAGTCCAGTTTTGATCCGGTCAATCTTAAGATCTGACGGGAATTTTCATCTGCCCAAGTTTATTTAGCTATACTAGTTATAGATTAACTAGTTCAATACAACATATTAACATTGTGTCAAGCGACTATGTTCTCTGGAGAAACAAAAAAAAGATAAACTAAGCATGAGTTATTCTTTATATTATTTTTTTTATTTTAGTAACGGGATGCACATACATACATACTTATGTTTATATTACACATGTACATATTAGCATAAACTCTTACAAACCTTACTATTTTAGTGGCATTAATTGTATTTATTCAAATATTGCTAAATAGTAAAAAAAATTGTTTTTATTTGCCTAAATTGCACAGATTTTCACCTAAGACCTTAACTTTTGCCATAAATAAATAAAAAAAGCACAACTTCTAACCAGAATTTAAGCATTTTTTTAATGCTTTTTTATCTGCGCACTTAACGCTCTTAAATTTAATACCTTTTTTACTATTTTGTTGAAATGTGAAAACAAGTTCTGCAACAAATCTAACAAATCCAACAACAGTACAACTATACAAGATTGAAAAAAAAAATTAAATAAGAAGAAGAATATTGGTGAAACGTGTGGTGCTTACGATGCAGCGCAGCAGTGTTGCATTTGTCAGAAAATGTGTTTATTAAATGTTTTCAATTCATTGCGTTTACAAAATGTAAAAAATGTAAGGAACAGCAGCGGACAAACAAAAACAAAAACAAAAGCTACCAACCTTTCGCAAATACAAACTTCAACAGCGCACAGCGCACAAACAAACATATGGGAACATTGTAAGTTGCGCCCCTCTGCCAATATGTTAACTTCACTTCGGCGAAAAAACGCACAAAAGAGAGAAAAACTCTTGAATCAATCACACAAAAGGTAAAAAAATAAATTTAAATATTTATAGAAATTATAAACAAAGTCACTTTTGTAATGGTTTTTTGGATATATTATGAATATTTTTTTAATTACTTACCGATGCAAGCGGTCACATTGCTCCAACTCATTTTCTAATTCGATGATGGCAAATAATTCCTTTTCTCCAGAAAGTCCGAATATACCATTTGGTATTTTTCTCAAGAATTTTTTTAATACGCTCGCTATTGTGTATACGGAATAATTATCAACATTCACTAAGCGCCCAGATTGTAGAAAATGTATTAATTTTTTCATAGCACCCTGATGGCCTGGCGCCCGAAACACATCGCGTCTATTTGGTGATTCTTTATTCAATTTCAATATCAACACCAATAGTGGTCCAGGTATATTTAAATTATTTTTGCAAACTTCTTCCAGAGGTACTCCAAATTTAACCTTTTCCAAACGGTAAGGATACGTTGTTCCAGTGCCTGAACCCGGGTGACCGCATGATGTGACAACGTTACCAAGATCAGCAGCGCGTCGATGTACGCGCTCAGCCCAGCTTGACATTTTGTTTTTTGTTGTGACGTTGTATGAAAATTCAACTCAAAACGTAAGTTGAATTCTTTTGGAAATGTTGAATTTTATTTATTACGAAAACTTTTATTTTTTTTGATTTGAAATATTTCAGCATTAATACATTTTTATAGGAATGCTTTTTTTTTTATTAAAAACAAATAAAAAATTATTACAATTCACTTCACAATAAATTTAACGAAAGTGTTGTTTTTCTACAACAATATTTTTGTTAAACTATTAATTCCAATTTCTTTTTAATTATTTAAAAACAAAAGCAATACACATATGTGCTTTAAACACAAATTGTAGAGATGAAAATGAAAAAATGGGGTCGTTTTAAAATTTTCACAACTGGTTTGCCACTCCTCCTTTAATATTTTACATTTTTCGCTAAAATTTTACTATCTTTTTATCAAAAATAGTTTAAGTCGATTAAATTCGCCATTGGTTATTCAATTTTATATTTAGTAATCTTAAATTTTCTATCAACATTATATTTATATCCACTTATAACTTAAAATTACTTTTCCCCCTAACTTTATTGTTTCTCTGTACACAAGAAATGAAAGCAGACTGAAATTATTTTCCATTTCATTTCCAGCCTAACTGTGTACTGTGTAATAGCGCGCACGCATATCTGTGTACTAATACTGAATCTTTTTGTGTAATTTAATATATATTTTGTGATTTTGTAATTTTTATGTACAAAATTACTACGTTTATTGTTATTTAAAGAAACTCTGATTTATAAATAGTAAAAATAAATAAAATTAAGCGAAACTTTTATGAGAAAATACAATGGAAATATGGAAATATGGAAATATTTTTTAAAAATCAAATTTTTTGTTTTCGCTATTGTAAATCCTAGTTTGAACTATAGCACAATACTTAACTGCAAACTATTGTGAATTTAAAAAAATGTTTGATCACAATAATATAATCTGAAATATTAATTTGTAAATACACAGGTAGTAAATAATGCAATGTAAAAATTATGAAACAGAATACATTATTTTGAATTGTTTATGTTATCAATTGCTATAAATTTAAATAAATACAATTTTTCATTTATATGTTTATGTATTGTATTACGTTTACACACCATATTATGCCAAAAAAAACTGATTTGACAAATACAATGTTTACATTGTAAGGTTAAAAGTGAATTAAAACAATCCTCAAGGTTATACGGCGTTTGCATTGTATGATTAAAAGTATATTAAAGCAAAAATACTCGTTGTTTAATCTCAGATTTCCAATACAAAACTTAATCTCCTTTTGGTCGAGATTAATTTTAAATCTCCTTCGAAATCGTAATTATTTTTCTGTGCAACTTTGCGAACGTCTTAATATGGTATATTTTTTGACGTTATTAGAAGAATTGGAAAAGAAATGTCAATATCTATTCAAAACAAAGATTGAAAACTTGAAAATGCCAAAGTGAGAAATTCTTATTGAATTTGTTTAACATAGTTTTGTACTATTTATTAAATTTATATTAATTTATTCTTATATTTTCAGAATCTTAATATCGTTCTCTTAATCTCACAATATAAACGTAGTATTACAATTACTTATGATAACACAATTTTGATATCGTTTACGATATCTGAAGCAACACAGAAAACGAAATACATGTAATATTAAATTTACTGGAAGCTTTTGTTTGTAATTTTGGCTATCATGTTTGTAATTTTAGCTGTCAATTGTTGTTGCTTTTAATATAAAATAAACATTTTTGACAACTAAAATTATAAACATAACTGTCGTGGGAATCCAGTATAAGGCTGAAATAACAAACTTTAAAAAACTTGTTAACCAATTGTAGTGCCACAAAATCATAATTGAGAATTAATTTAATCTAGCTTTTAAATTAAAAACTATGTAATGTATATAAGTAATTAATAACAATTGAATTTCATATATTTTTTATTTGAAATATTGATTTATGAATTTATTTTATTAATAAATTTTATACATTTTTTAATGAAAACAAGTATAATTATGTATAATCATATTAACTTTCAATATAATTTAATTTAATTATGTGTAATCAAGAACATTCATATTTCATTAGTATTTCAATCCAAAAAATTGTTTTATTTTAGCGCTTGGAATAGATTAATAAGATTAATCTTCAACTTAAGATAATAAGATATATATTCTCTGATATGAAGTCAAATAATTTAAATAAAATATTTAAAAACAAAATGTTTGATATATATACATTTTAAACTCTATATTGTGGGAAACGTCTTGATATCTATAAGTGATTAATAATAAAATATTGGTATTCATTCATATATTTATAGACCAGTAATTCTGGACATCATTTGAGCTAGTTTAGTTTGTCAAGATGGACTTAATTTTCTAATTTGCAAAAATTTAATGATGTAGATTTGTTGTTGTTAAAAGTAATCATATATTTATTTATGTTTTATAATAATTCTTTATAACAAATACTAACATTTAATCCATACTAAAAATGTAATTTTAGCATTGGTATTAAAATAATAATCTACAAAATTTTATAGAAGAGTGAAAAAAATACCTTCAAAATTGTTCAGAATAGCGTTATAATTATAATATAATGTTCCTAATACAATAATAATAATAATTTGTTTATAGCTAAAATTCTTTAAAGTGTCAAGCAGTGCATATAGCAACAATAAAAAAATCCGGAAAACAAAAATATGATAAATGAGAACAAATCTTGAGTGAATCTAGATTTAAGGAAAACATAAGAACCAAATTTTGTGATTATATGGAAACTACCATATATATTAATAAATATAATAAATTTATATAAAAGCACATTTATTTATATATGTACATATGTTTAGATATAGACATATATAAAAAATTATATATCAAGGATTTTCTCAATTTTAAGCCTACTTATTGACTATTTACGGATACGTACAAGAAAATCATCAAAATTTTTGATTATTTTAAAGATTACGTGTTTGTAAATAATAATCCAAAATTTCTTTAATTTAATAAATTTTTTATTTAATATCGATATTCATTTGAACTAAATAATATAACATTTTTCATATGAAATAATAATTATGTAAGCTATTATGCATATATGGGATTTAAGTAATTTATGCTTAATTTAGAATAAAACATTCGTTCAAAATTTGCAATTCGCACTGCCTCCGCAGTTAAAACTAATTTAGAATTTATCACCATATTTATTGAATATTGTGGATGAGTGCTTAGCCACCCACTAACTGTGTTTGATTTGACAAAAATATTAAAATGAATCAAAACAAATGATAAAGAGATTAATTTTAAGATCACTTTTGGAATTATTTAAAAGTGGTACAAAATTAAAAAAAAATATTTTCATAATTATGCAGTCATATTAAATTCTTTATGAGAACTTAAGAAAATATAATACTAATAATATTATTAATAATAAGAAATTATTTCTACGGGAAATAAAGAGTATAAATAAGTGATTTAAATATTGCAAACTTTGGCACACGAACGAGTTTCATTCATTATTTTGCAAAATCACAAACACTCGCTTCTCACCCACATATTCAATAATCAAAACACAACAAAACAAAAATAAAAACTCAAAACAATTTAAAGCACAAACATTGTTGCCATCATTTCAAATTTAGGTATAATTTAAACGCATGTTTAAATTATAAAATAATAATATATGAAAATTGAGCCCTTATATTATACTAAATATAAAAATATAACTAAAAATATTTTGATTATTTACATTAAATTAAGTGTATAGTTAAAATTCAAAATTTGTTCTAAATAGAGTATTAGTTAATTATAATGTACTTTTATATTAACCACTTGATTTTATATTTTACAATTAATTATCCAAACTTTATATTTCAATTGTAATAAGTAGATTATTATTATATATTAAGAAGATGTAATTATCATAACTTTAGGAACCAATTAATCTGATAAGGGCCTGGTAACACTGTTTAACTGTGCCTAGAGTTTATTTGAAAATTCGATTTGTGTTTGTTGTTTGATGTCCGCGTTGAGAAGCAGACATGATAACGTCGGGAATTGTGCAATTTATTTGTTTATTTCTGATTGTTAATTGTTTTATATATTTTTAATTTTTTTTTTGTTAATGTAATACTTGAATTTAAATAATGTATTGAACTGAAATACTTAATTGTGGATCAAAGCTTTAAAATTGAGTTTTGCTTATTCAAATAATTCGTTAATAAATGAATTTTATTAATGAAGAAAGCTTTTAAAAACGATTTCGGTCTAATGTGTTGTGATTAAGTGATAACAAATTTATTATTTAAGAAAAACATATTTTAATACAAATACTGATTTTAGAAAACATTATACAAAGTGCATAATTGGCGATTTGTTTTTATTGCTGTTGGATTATGGAATATGAAATCGCAATGGTCAGTATTTAACATATAATTTTGTATGTTTGTTTATAACAACGCTTTGTTGTTTAATATAATAAATTTATAAAAAAAATTTATAAAAATGTACTCAACAATGTTTAGCATTAAAAGTTTTTAATAGAATTTGAATAATATTATTTTTTGCAAAGATAATTAACAGAGAGAAATTCTCAGGCCATTCACTGCATCGTTGTTAAATGGAATTACTAAATATTTCAAGTAAAAATTAAGAACAGATTATATTTTTAATGTTCCGATAAATTATTTATATTTGTTTATAAAGCAATAAGTTAATATACAATATAATCTTTGTAACTGTGGTAGATTGTAAGTTCTGTTGCTATAATTTGCAAGGAAATTATAGTAAATTAAATTATAGTAAATATGTATTTTATTCATTCCTGTTGGCAAACTTGCTTAGGAATGAAATAAAGAGTTTCTTTGTTGGTTTTATTATATAAAAGTACAATATAGTCAAACTTCTATAACTCGAACTAAATAGAGTGCAACAGGGTTTAGAGAGCAAATTACATACAATTACAAAAATATTCTTTGACTCGAAGATTCCATAAGTCGAATCTCTTCTTTGCGAAATGGTAGTTCGATTTATGGAAGTTAGATTAGGAATAAAATAAAATAATTAAGATAGCTGAATTTTGTATTTTTTCATCTTGTTGTAAGACTGGAGAATCCGATCAAGACGAATTATAAGATGTGCTATGTATATTTAATTTGTTGCTATATTAACGATAGTCAAAATATCTGTAATAATATATCGGTTAATTTTATAAAATTATTTATATAAACATGTATTATTAAAATTTATCAACTAGCCCGTACAACAATATATATTTATTTTTTATATTTTATATATACATTATATATATTTATATATATACATATTATTATATATATATATACGATATTTTCTGAAATAAATTGTCTTACTTAAATAATTTATGTCAGTATCTTTTATCATATCTACTTTTTTTTAATCTTTTTGAAGGAAAGACAGCTAATAAATAAGCTAAATAAGAGCTAATAGGAATAAATTAATCGAAAGCTTTCGTTATAATCCGTAGTTTATAAAGAAAAACCAATTGTAGCATTAAGAGCTGATTTTACAACTAAAACCTCGTAACTAACAAGTATGAATTCTGAGAGCAAAGTTGATTGCTTAAGCATGACTTAGGTTAATGTTGAAACTTAAATTAC